CCTGAGACCTCTTCTTGGGCGGTGTGGGGGGAGAGAGAGGGGGAGAGGGGAGAGGGGTGGGAGGTTTGAGTGTGCGGCGGCCGCGTTGCGCGTGCGCGTGGGGAAGAAGGAAGGAAGGGGAGGCGAGGCGAGGGGAGGGGGGGAGCGAAAACGAGGAAGAAATGATTTTTGAGTTAATTGGGTTCTCTGCTTCTAGAAGGACGCAACGCAACGCAACGCACGCAGAAGGAAGGGGAACGGGGGACGGCTACTCTACGGTCTACGCGGCGCAAGTGTCAAACGGAAAGCAAAAGTCACGCACGCACACCAGCTAGTGGCCGCACCGCATTCCATGCCGGGTAAACAGTAACTTGTTCGGTGCTGCGTGGACTATGAAGGCTCGTCAATATACTGAGCTTGAGCTTAGGGCAACTCCACCGCGGATCATCGGACAGACGGCATCGAATGTTTGCGGACAGTCCGGACGCGTTCGTGGACAGCGGGGAGGACGTCGACATCGGATGTTTGCCCCATTTCATACGGACAGTTTAGAAACATGGACGAAATCAAAGTGAAACGGACGAAAATTAAACAAAGTTTGATCATAGAGGGCGGGATCCTCCTGCACGGCCTCTTATCGCATAATGATGGTCCTCCCCCTCCTCCTCCACTTGCTCCGCGTCCTACATCTACTCCTCCTCCTTCGACAGCGGCACCCAGTCAGTCCAAGGGGAACCAGGATGGCAACTGGGGAGTGAAGCCGTGCACGACGAGGCCACCACATACCATGGGCGATGGCGCTAACTAGATCTGGAGTAGCACACCGGCGACCATTCCTCGGCGCCGGACGTATTGCACACCATGGTGGCCGAAAGGTGTGGTGGTGTGTGGTGTGTGGTGAATGTGTGTGGGGGGATAAGGATTGTGCGGGTAGGGGTTTGCGTTGGAGGAGACCGACCAACCTTAAGGTCGGAGTAGACTTCTCGGCCGCCGTGGGAGACCGGTCAGCAGGAGAGAATGCCAGAGTGGAAGCAACATGAGATTGGTTTTTTGTGGGTTCGCGTTGTTAGAGTCCGATGTGGCGGATGTCCGGACTCTCCCAAACATGCCCCCAGTTGGTTTCGGTTTTGTGGAATTTCTGATGTCCATGCCTATCTGGAAAAACCAGGTAACCCCATTCGACAACCAAAAGTGCAAAGACCGTCTGGGACTGGACATTAGCGGTTGATTTGGTGATTTGTGTTGGAGTTTCCTTAGAGCAACTCCAGCAATGTTATTGGAAGGTCTCAAACATAATAATCGTCAATATGAAACGTAAGCTTCAAAAATCACTCTAACAGAGTCGCCATTCGCCCCTCAATCGCCATAAATTTTGGAGATCCCTCAATGTGTGGCCTCCCAACCTCTCCATATTTTCGGGTCATGGAGCCTCCATTTAGAGCTCGCTCCAAACCCAATTGGCAGCACAGAAAGGAAGTTATAGCTTTTTTCTCCTTGCACCACATACAAGATTTAAAGCAACGTGTCCTCTTAAGCACCACCAATGAGGCAACCACCCTACCGTTATGGCGTTGCCACTCCATCAGATTCCCATGGCGGCCCATTGAGATAATTTCCATGTGAGAGCATATGCTAGCTTGCATTTGAGCAGGCGAGAGGATGTGTGTGAAAAGGCCGAGAAGAGGCATAAATCATCTAGAACATGTGATCCACCTGTCATTGAGGAATTGTTTCTCTTTCTTTTAGCATTGGCATGGAGCTAGGTGAGGCGTAGATACCGGCAGTGTGATGTCAATTTTGACGACGGGCTAGCAATGAGCAGACAGAACCACCAGATGTTGACGGGAGGAGGAGCTCAGGAGCATGGTGACACCCTCTTTTTGTCGGAGCTTCCTCACTTCCTTCTCGCCTCATCGGGAGGAGATGGTCGTGTCGTCGCCATATCATCATCGAACCTTCATAGCTCCTCCTCCTTCTAGGTTGGTGCCTGTCGGTGTCAAAACCGGCGGATCTCGGGTAGTGGGTCCCGAACTGTGCGTCTAGGCCGGATGGTAACAGGAGGCAGGGAACACGATATTTTACCCAGGTTTAGGCCCTCTCGATGGAGGTAAAACCCTACGTCCTGCTTAATTAATATTGATGATATGAGTAGTACAAGAGTAGATCTACCACGAGATCAAGGAGGCTAAACCCTAGAAGCTAGCCTATGGTATGATTATTGTATATGGAGTTGATTGCCTACGGACTACAACCCTCCGGTTTATATAGACACCGGATAGGGTTAGGGTTACACAGAGTCGGTTACAATGGTAGGAGATCTTGAATATCCGCATCGCCAAGCTTGCCTTCCACGCCAAGGAAAGTCCCATCCGGACACGGGACGAAGTCTTCAATTTTGTATCTTCATAGTCCAGGAGTCCGGCTGAAGGTATAGTCCGGCTACCTGAACACCCCCTAATCCAGGACTTCCTCAGTAGCCCCTGAACCAGGCTTCAATGACGACGAGTCCGGCGCGCAAATTGTCTTCGGCATTGCAAGGCGGGTTCCTCCTCCAAGTCCTTCATAGAAGATTGTAAACACCAAGAGTAATGTCCGGCTCTGCAAAATAAGCTTCCACATATCGCCGTAGAGAGAATAATATTAACACAAATCAAAACCGCTGACGTATTCCGCAGTGTGTCATCACACTACGGCCAAGTCCTTTAGTCGAATCGTTTTTACTTTTCCACCTCAGCATGTTTTGCGAGGCGGTTTCCTTGGCACGTCTTGTCAAAGCAGAGATCATGTTCCCCCTTTACGGGATTCTCATCAATACGGACGTGGGTAACCCAACCGCGCCATTTATCACGGCGCTTGGGAGGCAAGCGAGTTTTACTAGGCTGGTGGGGACCCACAACCGCATCCACCCATATAAGGGGATAATGATCCACCTTTTTACCTACGCCTTCTTCCTCCTTTGCCTATCCATCTCCTGCGCACTCGAGCTCCAGCGCCCAAGCCCGCACTTCCCACCTCAACCTTCTCCAGCAATGTCCGGAGCGGGAGGCAAGTGGATGATCTCCTCCGCTACGGAGGGCCAAGTCAAGAAGCTAAGGAAGGCCGGATACCTGTCCAAGGACATCGCACACCGGCTTCCCTAAAAGGGGCAGCTTCTCCCCACCCCAAGGCCCCATGAGAGGGTAGTATTTCTCCCCCACTTCCTCCGCGGACTGGGTTTTGCACTCCACCCATTTGTCCGGGGGCTCATGTTCTATTATGGCCTGGATTTCCATGATCTGGCCCCGAACTTCATCCTCAACATCTCGGCGTTTATCGTCGTGTGCGAGGCTTTCCTCCGCGTCCGCCCTCATTTCGGCCTCTGGCTCAAGACCTTCAACGTCAAGCCCAAGGTGGTGCGCGGCAGCCAGGCGGAGTGCGGAGGCGCCATGGCGGGCAAGATGGCCAACGTCCTATGGTTCGAGGGTTCTTTTGTGGAGACCCTAAAGGGGTGGCAATCCGGGTAGTTTTACATCACCGAGCCACGCGATCCGAAATGGACCGCAGCCCCCGAGTTCCGATCCGGACCCCTCACGCGGCTTATGTCCTGGAAAGAGACGGGCCTGTCATGGGGTGACGAAAAAGAGGTGACCGGATTGCAAACATGCATCCAGTCCCTGGTGAACAAGCCAATCCGGCTTGTTAACGTAATCCAGGTTATACTCGTCCGCCGGATCCTCCCGTGCTAACAACGGGATTTTAATCTGTGGGAGTTCGACCCAGCGCAGCACCAAACCCTTAGTAGGCTCTTCGACACGACGTACAAAGATGCCTGGAAGGTGCTATTCAAGGGCGCCGAGGCCCCCGCATCCGCTTCCGAGGACCGCGGATACAGCTCGCAGCGTCACGCTAGCGAGGTAAGCTATCTTCACCTTTTACAGGATGTTAAGCTTTTTTCATAGTTTGACTCTATGCGGGATCTAAACTCCCTTACCTTTGACAGGCTTGGCGGGTGATATCCAGACCGATTAACTGTCCGGCTCCGCTGCCCGAAGACCCAGCCCCAGCTCTACTAGTGAAGCTGCTGGCTCCGGCACCTTATGTGGTGCCGGAAAAGAAGGCCAAGAAGAAGAAGACCACGGGGACTCGAAAGAGTGCCCGTAACATGGTGGTGTCGGACTCGTCATCCGACGAGTCCGAGACGCCCTCTTCCCGTGAAAACGAGGAGGAGGAAGAAGAAAACTCTCCCCCCCCCAGCGGAGGGAGGAGAGAAGAGGAAGGCCGCCCCAACGGGGGAGGCCGAGGGGTCTAGGAAAAGGAAGACCCCTCCGCCGGACTACTCCCCCGACGCCGAAGAGGGCGAAGAGGAGTGGCCAAACAGGGCCAAGCGTCCAGCGAAATCGTAAGTTCGGATGTCAGAGTAACTCATGATGTTCCTTTGTCGCACAGCTTTCCCTAATGTCGAACGTAATTATGCAGCCCGCCCCGGGCCGAATTCAACGAATCGTCGGGCGGCTCCTTGGACTCATCGGACGTGAACTCAGTTCCGCCCGCTGTCTCCCCCCGCACTGCAGACGACGCCGAAGTGGCGTCGCGACAAGCTCCGGGGCAAGAGGAGGTGGTCCCGGAGGAGCCGCAAGGCAACCTCCCGGACTCCAGGAGTGAAGGG